TCGATTCATTTGATTGATTTGATATAATGAAATGCAAGAGTAATAACATTTTGCCTCTAAGTTGATTGTCGTAAGTGGCAAGTGTGTATTATATAGAGGATACTACATGGGAGCACGGAGATATAGAGGATATTACATGGGCGCGCGGAGATACGGATTTTATCTTCGAGTGATGAAAAAATCTCTCACGAGTGAGCGTAGCGAACGAGTGAGAGATTTTCAACACGAGAAGATAAAATTCGTATCTCCAAGCGACCATGTAATATTCTGTTTATCATATAATTACATTTGAAAGCAAATTATGCCGTAAAATAGCTTTTTTCTTACTTTCACTATATAGAAAAACCTCGAATGTGTTATTTTCACTATAGTGAAAATGACATGTTATTTTCACTAGTGAAGATATCAACTTTACGAAATGGAGAAATATAGGTATTTCATAGATAATTATAAGATAAAAGCTCGTATGAGTACGATCTTGGGTGATTTCAAGTCGTTTTCGCCTAGTAACACGTATGCTTTCGGAGTGACGTCAACCTAGAAATGATCCTAAATTTCTTCATAATTTGCATCATGAAAAGATTTAGATTAATAGTAGATTTAACTCTAAATTCACTCCACCAGGTAGGGTAACTTTAATTTCATTGGTGGAGTTATTTCAACTCCTTGAAAATACTAACAGCCGTACACCAAACTTGGAAGAGTATAACAAACTGAAACATGAAGAAAAGATATTGATTCGATGCAAATGCATTAATACTGAAAAGAAGAAATATTATATTCTATTCTAAAAACTAATAACTAGTTTATTAGCCAAAATTGTCAGCACATACACCTACTTCAAAAAACGTTGTCGGGGAAAACGGCGAACGACGATTGTCGAAGGGAGATTGCACGGCCGAAAGGGACTATGGTTACACTGTTTTGACAAACAAAACTTCACTTATTGGATATATCTTTCATAGAAATGGAGACTAAATGGAGTCAATGTTTAACCGCAGACTATCTTACAGTATAAATCAGTTGTTATTTCTCATCAACTAGCAAAACCCATGGCTACTTTCGGTCGTACAATAGTCTCCTTCACGGTTACCTGCGCCATCTTGAAAGGTAGCCGTGCCTTGTCATCGAAGCGAGACAACAGTTGAGCGTGCAATGATAGAAACCTTCTTTCACACCTACAGACAATTATTCACAGGTATCTATCATTGCACGCTCAACGGTCGTCTCGCTTCGGTGCAAAGGCACGGCTACCTTTCAAGATGGCGCGGGTATCCGTGAAGGAGACTATTGCCGTTCGACCATTGACATTCGCCATTGTATCCGACAAAGTACCACAAACAGAAACATGAAGAAAAGATATTGATTCGATGCAAATGCAAATGTATTTTAAATTAAAATACTGAAAAGAAGAAATATTATTATTTTATTGTAAAAACTAATAGTTTATTAGCCAAAATTGTGAGCACATATTTATACCAAAAAAAAATATACCAAAAAAATACATATAGGAACATGTACATTTAGAAACTTCTTACACAAGATGGAGATTTTATTCTATATTTATATCTATTGCTTTTAACACAATAACAGCAATGAAAAGACGAGGAAAACTATACACACCAAATAAGGAATGTTATAACCAAATAAGGAGCGATATGATAAATAATGATTTCATGTAAAATTCTGCTTGAAATTCAATTACATCTTAATTGCTCTATTGTGATTAATAAAAGTATTTCATGTACAAACAGGTGAATAAATAAAGATGCAAGCAATTCAGTTTTATCACTAGTGTGAGTTAATAAATTTAGATTTAAATACACACCGGA